TCCCTTTTTTTTTTTGCAGGGTGAAGGGGGTGCTGGGGTCAAAGCCAAGGGTGCACTGAGCTTCATCCCTAGTCCTTTTTATTTTTTATTTTGAAACAAGGTCTTGCCAAATTGTGGGTGCATGCTTGTATTTCAAGTTTGCTTCAATATGAATATGTTTGATGCTTAGTAAGAATAAAAAGATTTTTGTTTGCTCTCAAATTGTTATCTAATTTCAATTTTAGGGCTAGGGCATTGTGGCCATTCTTATAAATTTTAATAAGAAACTATATGTTGTAGAAGTAAATGTTAAATATAGTTGATTCCAAATATAAGTCCTGGTCTACTGATTTTATTTTCTATTAAACTTTTTAAGTAAAGTTTTAAAATCTTACAATATAAAGTTTTTTATCTTTCCTTGTGTTGTTACTTGATACTTTACGCTTGAGAAATCATCATTCCTCTGTAGATACAACATTTCATCATTCTAATTGTTAAGAATTTGTTAAAAATAATTCTTTAATGGACCTTAAATTTATTTCAGGGGAAGATATAAAGATCTAAATTAGATGCTTTTAAAATTGGTATCCTTTATCAACATAATATATTAATAACCTTTCTTTTAACCACAGCTTCAAAAGTTTACTTTCCTAAATATTGTTTTTACAAAGCTTCTGTAATTTCTGATTGTTGTATTCTGCTCTGTCAATCTTTTTCTATATTTTACAATAGAAGTAAACTTTTTATAATTGTTGTTTTACAGTATGTTTTAATACCTAATAAAATTTAATTCTCCTAAGGTAGTACTTTACTTTTCCCATATTTTATAAACCAGTGATGCTCCTTTTTTCAATATTTCTGTTCTATTCCAATTATTCTAAATGTTCTTCGAAAATCCCTTTTAGAAATACGTTGTTATCCTCTCATTCCTCTGTACTTGGAATTTGAATGGGATTATTATACTTCTATAAATTGACTTTGATATAATATTGATGTATGAAGTTATAAATTGTAACTCTTCATTTATTAAGGATTTTCTTTGTTTCCTACTTATCCTTTCTCAGGATAAAAGTTCTGTTTAGTTTTTCATTAAGCTTGTTCATGAATATTTTTTAATTTTATTATTATTGAGAATAGGTTTATTTTATTATTTTCATTTAACTGCATTTTACTAAGACTTCTATGAATTTTTTGGATATACTCCCTTTCCTTTTCACTGTTATTTTATTACCTCTAATTAGTAATTTATCTTTAATGGCAGATTCATTTGGCTTTTTTAGCTATGCAATTATTCTCATTACAGATAATGATTTTCAGTTCCCAGTATTATTTTTATCTTACTTGAATCTTAATAATACTTATTATTATAATTATATTAGAGAAACAATTGTAGAAGAGACATCAATTAATTTGTCTTTTCTGTCCAACTTCCCTTTTTAACTGTTCTGCTTTGCAGATCTGGAAGTTCTGCTTGGTAGCTAAGCACTATATGAATGCTGCCCAGATAGAGCTGATTGGATTGAAAAAAATGGGCACATGACTCAGGAAAAACCAATCCATTGGCTGGTCAGTAATCAGACTAGGAATCAGATGGTGTTGGACTGCCTGTGTAAGGTCATGTATTATTGAAGCTGTGGTTCACACACACATCACACAAAATTTAAGAGAAAAGGAGAGACAGCCACCTCTCAACATGTTTCAGGTTCTTGTGGGGAAGCTGCTTTCCTTTTAGGTTTTAGATTCTAATATAACAAATCCTCCTTTTGTGAGGTTTCTGGTTTTAATAGGTTTCTGTTTCTCATAACCCAAAGTCATCCAACCAAATAATATTGATAATGGGTATCTGTATAGTTTTCTGGTGTTTAAAGAGAGAGCCACATGTGTTCTAACTTCTGTTTCAATAGACACAATTATAGTAATATTTTTATTACTTTAAAAATGTTTTTATTGAGTATTGAATTTTGTTAGACATACATGGGGCATCTGTTGAAAAGATCATAAGCAATTTTTTCTTATTTAATTATATATTGTATATTATATCTCTATAGATAACCAAATATATCAAGCTGTAAACTCAGGTTTCCTGGTATTTGGTCAAATTATCTTTTCATAATACAACACAAAAATGAGAATAGATAATATAGACAATATAAAAAACCAGAGATAAAAATCTTTCTTATATTTTTCTTAGGGGGCACCACACATTTATTAAGAAAGATGTATTTAATATATATGTGTGTATATATTAAGATGTACATGTTGAGTAGTATTGCTGAGTAGCATAATGGCCCCTTTGATCATCCTATCCCAAGGCCCTAATTCTGTCATGGTGTCTCAATTTCCCCTCTTATTAAATCTCGTCTTTTTATAATTTAAAAATATGTTTCAGATAAATAATTGCTTGCACCATGGCAGGGCAAGGTATGCTGAGGAGTATTTTCCTTATCCCTTAGGTTCAGTATTGCTGCTGAGGCATTGGGACTGGACACCTTCCCAGTGACACAAACAATACAGTCCTACGACTCAGTGCAACCCTCTTTGTAAATGTACTAATGGTTGACATTATCACTTGTCATCTCACTGAATCTTTTCCCTCCAGCTTTTTAATATAAAAAAGAGATGTATGTGAACAACCTCTCAACTGGAGACAATTCTCTTGGGAGCACATTTCCTTTTGTAAGAACTTAATTGATATTATTCCATCATCATCTGGCATTCATTATTATGGTGGAAAATATAAGGCTGGCATGATTTTTCTTTTTGTGTGTGATTTGCACCATCTCCTAGTTGTAATTCTTCACTATCAATGTTTGATAGTCTGGTAGAAGAGTATTAATATTGAGGCTCTTCTGTCATAATCATGATATGCTCCTTCTCTCTTATGTGTATATTTTTCCTGTATTATAACTTGTGACATATTCTTTCTCTTTTTTTGTTTTCAGCTTCATTTCTTGGATTCTCTAACCCAGGGACACCAATTCTTTTTAGGATGAATTGTTTTTGTCTTTCATAGAGCTTAGTTCCTTTCTAAATTATTGGCTTTTTTCCCCCTGTGTACACACTCACTGTCTTTATTTTCCATATGTTAGTAATTTTTATTTTTTTTTCATTCAGAAATGATGTTGATTTAAGCATCCATTCATTGTCTTAGCTATACAATCTCCTATGGAGAACAGTGACTTGGATCATGGTCTCTGACAGCCTGTGGCTGCACTTGTGCTGGGAACTTTCTGTGCAGGTCAAGATTGCCCAGTTGCTATGGTGATACATGCCTGAGGAAGCTCTGTGCAAAGGCACAGAACCATATCAGGCTGGACCCTAGGCTCAGACACCAGCTGCCAGGGATAAAGTATTCTGGGCATAACAAAATAACCACCATATCTTGCACATGCCATGACCTTCCAGCCTGTCTCCTTTGCAGAAACTTTCCCACAAATAACCTTTTAATGGTAAAAATCTATATAATAAACATGCTGTACTAGCTCCAGATCACTGTTCCTCCATCAGAGGATGATGTCCCATCTGTTCCCAGCTTCTTATAAGTGTGTATTTATCTTTTATTTTTATTTTTTATTTTTTTGGCACTAGGGATTGAACTCAGGGGCACTCAATCTGTAAGCCACATCCTCAGCCCTTTTTGTAGTTTTAATTTAGAGACAAGGTCTTGCTAAATTGCTTAGAACCTCGCTAAATTGCTTAGAACCTCGCTAAATTGCTGAGGCTGGGTTTACACTGGTGATCTTCCCGCCTCAGCTTCCCAAGCTGCTGGGATTACAGGCAAGCGCCACCACAACTGGCTATTTGTCTTTCTTAATTCCATATCACCCCTCTCTGGTTTCTGAGGTTCAGCTGTGCAGGTTGCAACAATCTCCCTTTTCATTTCACTCTCTCTGTTTTGTCATGTTACTATATAGACTTAATTATTAAATTATTTTATAGCATACTACAATCATGGAGGAATTTCCTTCTGTTTATTGAGTAAGTTTTGTTCAGGTTTAGTTTCTCATCTTTTTGATTTTTTGCTTCTTTTACTGTGCCTACCCTTTTGCTTTCACACAGTCCAATAAACATTCACTGTGTTTCTGTTCGGGTTTGGGGGTACTAGTAGATGAAGAATTTCAGGATGTTGTCAACTTGAGGACTCTCTTAGAATAGAACTGTGTCCAGGAGGAGGAAATGGTCAGGAATGTTGTGCTCATTTCCTCTACACAGGATTGCTCTAGCAATCCTGTATATTCCTAGTTAATCTTTTACCTTTTTGTTGGTTGTTTGAGCCCCCACACCCCCACCCCAACTTGCTTAGCTATCAGGGGAGGGAAATTCTATGTTACAGCTTAAATTTTATTACATTTACCCCTGTGAGAAGAGTATAAGCAAAGTCACACTGTGGAGGGATAAACACGTTCCAGGGTTGCTATGTGATATGCCTGTGGACTTCTAAATTAATACGTGGAAGGACCATAAATCAAGCCCATGTGTTTCCATTTCAGGCCATTGCTTTTTACATGAGACTTTCCTAAACACAAAGCCAATTAATTTCTTATTTGAACGGATACACACACATAAATGTTATTTCAATGTGCTTGATGTGTTTAAAGATATATAAGATGAAGGGACCTTTGGAAAAGAACTACAAGCTTACTTCTCTTTGTTCATCAGACACACTCACAGATAGCTGTGTGTAAAATTAAGTCCTTGAGATAAAATAAGATTTTGAGTTCAAAACTAGCCTCAGCAACAGCAAGGTGCTAAGCAACTCAGTGAGACCCTGTCTCTAAATAAATAAAAAAAAACAAAAAAACAACAAAAAAAAACAGGGCTGGGGATTCAGCTTAGTGGTTGAGTGCCCCTGAGTTCAATTTCTGGTGACTCCCCACCCCCGCAAAAAAAATTTAAAGCACAAAGCTGTGTTTGCTATTTACATATAAAATACTCCAAATATTAAGAAAATGTGAACATTATGTTAATATGTAAGATATTCCCAAAATTAAATATGCTTTTTTCTTTCTTTTTGTTTTTAGAGTAAAGCACATCAATATCAGAAGCCATCGCGAGGGTTTGTAAGGCCTCCCATGGAATGATGTAAGCCAGAATGAGGCATCTTTGTTGGTGGTTTATGGGAAGCTGAAGACTGGAGGAATGCCCTTGACAACACCGATATGTTCTAGCTCTACGATTCCGCTTTGAAGCCCGTTTTTCAAGTTTTTAGATTTTCACTTCTTAGAGCAGCACTACTTTCCCTCCCACCTTTATCCACATAACTCATGTGGATTCCAGCTTAAAAGCTGTGCAAAACAAAACAATCTTCCACAGCCAGGGTGCCTGACCGGCTGAAAATTGTGTCCGTGTGGACAGAGAGCATCCTGCTCCACGTGGTGGAGCACCACCCGTGCCTCAGTCTCTTTCATTGTTGACAAACCACAGTGATCATTCTGCATTATGGATTTATTTCTGTTTCCCCAAAGTCACTTTCTGTAAACGTTTATATGTTTGTCTCTCACTTCTTCTGGGCACAGGGACATTTATTGGTAAGAGTATGATAAGACTTAATGTGTTTTTAAAAATAAATAAATATAAAAAAATAAATAAATTATATATATATATATATATATATATATATATATATATATATATATATATATATATTTATCCATTCTTGATCCATATGTGGGTGTTACTGGATGTAATGTGTCATGTTCTGTGTTAATGCCTGAATCATACTTGGACATTCATGGCTTCATCTTATAGTTCATGATTCTTATGACATAAATATTGCCTAAGATGCTTGTGAAATACAGCAGGGATCCAGCCTTAGAAATTATGATTCAAAATTTACCAAATTCTACCATGTTCCTGTGTGGATATATCCCAATGAATCCTGATTTTTATCTGTTCGTAAAATTATAATTCACTAATTAGAATGATAATAGTAGTAATGGAGGGAGATCAGTAGAATAGATTGAGCAGATCAAGGGAGGGAAGAGGGGATGGGAAGGGAAGGTACTGGGGAGTGAGTTTGATCAAACTGTGTTATGTGCATCCATGAATATGGCATGATGGCTCTCACTATTACATATAATTTTAATGTACCAATAAAATGTAGGCAAAAATAGTTCTTGTAAGTGCTGGGAATGAATAAAATATGAAATAAAACAGAGAAATTATGATTTGAAAGTCTTTGGGGTGAGATATATAAACCTACATTTTAACAAACTCCCCAGCAAATTCTTGGGAAGGCAGTCTATATACTTTCAGAATCACCACTTTGCATCATTGAGTAGTTGGGACTTTATGAATGAAAAGCATTACTTCAGTCAGGGAATGAAACTTTTTTTCCTGTTTCACAGTAGCTTTAGTACATAGAAATCAGTTATAAAATGGTGCTCTGTCACAGGAAAGGAGAATAAAGAATGTAAGGCACGTAATGTTATAGGTAGAAATTTGAACAATTTTATCTAATTAGTTCAGATAAAATTGTTCAGTCAAATGATATGGCTAACTGTGTTGTCAAATGTGTGAAGGTAGATATTCGACTCTTGTGACCCTTCTGATTGAAATAAACACATTTTTCTTGTTTTGTCCCTGTTTTATTTGGACCCTCAGTGAACTGGAGGATGGACCCTTTCAATGAGAGCAATCTTCCTTACTCAATGTACTCATCAGATGCTAATCTCTTCTGGAAATGCCCTCACAGGCAAACCCAGAAAAAAAATGTTTTACCAGCTATCTGGGCATCCCTCAGCCCTATCAAGTTGACACATAAAATTAACCATTACAGAGGAGGTTTGTGAGGCATAGTTATGATAGTGGATAAGCTCTATGAAAAACATAAATTGCAATATATTTGAAGAATTTAATCATTTATGATGTTCCCCAATCTGAATGAAGGCAATGTAAAATAGTCTTGCTCTTAGAAGTGTTTCAATAATTGGTAAAGTGGGGTTACTTATGGCAATATTGCATGTGATTTTTTAAAAAAATTAAATAATTTATTTTAATTAGGTATATATAACAGCAGAATGTGTTTTGATTCATTGTACATAATTGCAGCACAACTTTTCATTTCTCTAGTTGTACATGATGTAGCATTGAACAATATGTGCACTCATACATGTACTTAGGGTAATGATATCCATCTCATTCCATCATCTTTCCTGCCCCCATGCACCTCCTCACCCCTCCCTCCCATTTGTTCAATCAAAGTTCCTCCATTTTTCCCATGCCCCGCCACCCTGGGTTATGGACTGCATCTAATTATCAGAGAGAACATTTGGCCTTTGGTTTCTTGGGATTGGCTTACTTTGCTTAGCACAATACTCTCTAGCTCCATCCATTTACCTGCAAATGCCATAATTTTATTCTCTTTTATTGCTGAGTAATATTCCAATGTGTATATAACACAATTTCTTTATCCATTCATCTATTGAAGGGCATCTAGGTTGCTTCCACAGTTTAGCTATTTTGAATGAGCTGCATAAACATTGATGTGGCTGCATTACTATAGTATGCTGATTTTAAGTCCTTTGGGTATAGACCAAGGAGTGGGATAGCTGGATCAAATGGTGGTTCCACTCCAAGTTTTCTAAGGAATCTCCAAACTGCTTTCCAGACAGATTTCACCAATTTGCAGTCCCACCAGCAATGTTATGAGTGTACCTTTTCCCCCACATCCTCACCAACATTTATTGTTGTCTGTATTCTTGATAACTGCCATTCTGACTGGCATGAGATGAAGTCTTAGAGTAGTTTTGATTTGCATTTCTCTAATTACTAGAGATGCTGAGCATTTTTTCATAAATTTATTGATCAGATATATATCATCTTCTGAGAAGTGTCTGTTCAGCTTCTTAACCCATTTATTGATTGGGTTGTTTGTTTTTTGGTGTTAAGTTTTTTGAGTTCTTTATATATTCTGGAGATTAGTGCTGTATCTGACATGCATGTGGAAAGAATTTGCTCCCAAAATGTAGGCTCTCTGTTCACCTCGTTGATTGTTTCTTTTGCTGAGAAGAAGCTTTTTAGCTTGAGTCCATTCTATTTATTAATTCTTGATTTTATTTCTTGTGCTTTAGGAGTCTTGTTAAGGAAGTCGGGGCCTAATCCCACGTGATGAAGATTTGGGCCTACTTTTCCCTCTATTAGGTACAGGGTCTGTGGATTAATTACTGGGTTCTTGATCCACTTTGAGTTGAGTTTTGTGCATGGTGAGAGATAGGGGTTTATTTCATTTTGCTGCATATGGATTTCCAGTTCTCCCAGCACAATTTGTTGAAGATGTTATCTTTTCTCCAATGTATGTTTTTGGAGCCTTTGTCTAGTATGAGACAACTGTATTTATGTGGGTTTGTCTATGTCTTCTATTCTGTACCATTGGTCTACATGTCTATTTTGGTGCCAATACCATACCATTTTTGTTACTATAGATTTTTAGTGTAGTCTGGTATTGTGATGCCTCCTGCTTCACTCTTCTTGCTAAGGATTGCTTTGGCTATTCTGGGTATCTTATTTTTCCAAATGAATTTCATGATTGCTTTTTCTATTTCTATAAGGAATGATGTTAGCATTTTAATTAGAATTTTATTGAATCTGTATAGCACTTTGTGTAGTATGACCATTTTGACAATATTAATTTTGCCTATCCAAGAGCATAGGTGATCTTTTCATCTTCTAAGGTCTTCTTTAATTTTTTTCTCTAGTGTTCTGTAGTTTTAATTGTAGAGGCCTTTCACCTTTTGTTGATTCCCAAGTATTTTATTTTTTTTGAGGCTATTGTGAATGGGGTTGTTTTCCTAATTTCTCTTTCAGAGGATTCATCACTAATGTACAGATTTATGGGTATTGATTTTATATCCTGTTACTTTGCTGAATTCATTAATTAATTCTAGAAATTTTCTGGTGAAGTTTTTTTGGGTCTTCTAAATATAGAATCATGTTGTCTGCAAATAATAATAGTTTGAGTTCTTCTTTTCCTATTTGTATTCTTTTGATTTCTTTCATCAGTATAATTGTTCTGCCTGAAGTTTCAAGGACTATGTTGAATGGAAGTGGTGAAAAAGGACATCCCCGTCTTGTTTCAGTTTTTAGAGGGAATGCTTCCAATTTTTTGCCATTTAGAATAATGTTGGCCTTGAGTTTAGTATAGATAGCTTTTACAATATGGAGGTATGTCCCTACTATCCCTAGTTTTTCCTGTGTTTTGAACATGAAAGAGTGCTGTATTTTGTCAAATGCATTGATATAATCATATAATCCTTATCTTTAAGTCTATGGATGTGATGAATTATATTTATTGATCTCCATATGTTGAACCAAGCTTGCAACCCTGGAATGAGCCCCACTCAATCATGGTGCATTATTTTTTAAATATGTTTTTGTATGTGATTTGACAGAATTTTATTGAGGATTTTTGCATCATTATTCATCAGGGATATTGGTCTGAAATTTTCTTTCCTTGATGTGTCTCTTCCTGGTTTGGGTATTCGGATGATATTAGTTTTGCAGAATGAGTTTGGAAGAGTTCCTTTCTTTTCTGTTTTATGGAATAATTTGAGAAGTATTGGTATTAATTCTTCTTTGTAGGTCTTGTAGAACTCAGCTGTGAATCCATCTGGTCTCAGGCTTTTCTTTGTTGGTAGGCTTTTGATGATATCTTCTATTTCCTTGTTTGAAATCAATCTGTTTAAATTGTTTATGTCCTCTTGATTCAGTTTGGGTTGATCATATGCCTCTAGAAATTTGTCAGTGTCTTTGAGGTCTTCTATTTACTGGAGTATAAATTTTCAAAATAGTTTCTAATGTCTTCTGTATTTCAATAGTGTCTGTCATGATATTTCCTTTTTCATCACAAATTTTAGTAATTTGAGTTTTTTCCTTCTTTTCATTACAGTGGCTAAGGGTTTATTAATTTTATTTATTTTTTCAAGGAGCCAGCTTTTTGTTTTGTCACTTTTTTGAATTGTTTCTTTAATTTCAATTTCATTGATTTCCACCCAGATTTTAATTATTTCCTGTCTTCTACTTTTGGTGTTGGTTTGTTCTTCTTTCTCTAGGGCTTTGAGCTATAATGTCAGGTCATTTATTTTTTGACTTTTTCTTCTTTTAGTGAATGAGCTCCATGCAATGAAATTTCCTCTTGGCACTGCCTTCACAGTGTCCCAGAGATTTTAATAAGTTGTATCCCAGTTCTCGTTTACCACTACAAAGAATTTTTTAAAATTTTCTTCCTGATGTCTTCTGTTATCCATGTGTCATTCAATAGCGTATTGCTTAGTCTTCAGGTGTTGGAGTAGCTTCTCTTTTTAATTTTATCATTGATTTATAATTTCATTCCATTATGGTCAGATAGAATGCAGTGTAGTATCTCTATTTTTTGTATTTGCTAGTACTTGCTTTGTGGCATAATATATGGCCTATTTTGGAGAAGGATCCATGTGTTGCTGAGAAGAAAATGTTTTTGCTTTTTGATGGATGGAATATTCTATATATGTCTGTTGAGTCCAAATTATTGATTGTATTATTGAGTTCTATAGTTTCTTTGTTTAGTTTTTGTTTGGAAGCTCTATCCAATGGTGAGAGAGGTGTGTTAAAGTCACCTAATATTA